TTGGACACACATTAGCAGACACTGAGAACACGATAAGGAACAGGGTTATGGTACCTCTGCTTCCTCTTAGTGTATTTAAAACAAGTGCACTCTTGTTAGGAAGAAAATGTCTATATCACCATCAGGTTGTTTGTGCTAGTCTGCTTTTGGCTGATATTGATAACAAAATTGGAAGCATGCCCATGGACATTGCCTGAGAATGCCACAGAAGCCAAATGAAAGCGGGAATCAATCAGAGTAATTGGTTCTTAGCCAGTTAGTGATGGTGGTGGCAGTGGTAATAGGGATGGTGGTGGTGGTTATGGTAGCGATGGTGGTAGCTGTGGTGGTGGTATTGATGGTGGTAGTTGTGATGGGGTGGAGATAGGGATGGTGGATTTGAGAACATAAACAAACGGTTTTGAAAATGCCGGATTCTATTCCAGAAGTTTCTCTTGGGATGAAAAGAGAACTGAGCAGGTGGAGGTGCACGTGGAACCTCTCGCACACACATGTGACTAACACCAAAGCATGTGTGCTGAAGAAAACAGAAGGGGAGAGTCAACGCAAAACTGATACTGGAAATGGAATATGGCATGCCTGGGATGTGTGTTCAATGGCAGGACAGAGAGAGACTATGAAGTCCTTTCTCCAGTAACTGACAGGTAGAGTTGTAGCCATCATCTGATAGTTGATAGAAAGTAAACATGGCATGTGGCACAGAAAGGTTTAGAAAGAATGAACTTGCTTACATCTAAGGGCATAGCTGGGCTTTAAGAGAAGCCATCTCCTTTCTTTCTTTGACACCTGGAAAGAAGGGCCAGGATCCAGAAAAAAGAGACTTCTAAGCATCCTCCCAAAGAAGGACACTGGTCCACTGTACCTCAACATTCCTTTCTAACTCTGTAATACCATGGATAACTCTGTGTGAGCTGTTTTTGGCCCAAAAATGTTCTATCTAATTAGCAGTTTGTACATATGACTCTGGTGAAGAAGCCTGTTACCCAAGTAAGCCTCAGCACATTACTTAAGTGCCCCAAGCCTGCTTCTTCACCTGTGTGATTCCCTTGTCAGCTCAATGCTTAGTGACAGCAAGCACTCAAAAGATGGCAACTATCACTGCTAAGGGGTAAATGAGACCAAGTCAATGAAAACGAGCATATTAGACAATGCCTCACCCAAAGTTGGCAGTCAGTGTTAAAAAGTAAAAATTACAAAGGAAATGTTGGGGCAATGCAGTCTTTCTCTCTGTAAGGTACCATAGCATTTATGGTAGGAAAGCCACTATCATTTACACAGCTTTAGGTAAACCACTGACAGCTCCATTTGCCCTCCTCTTCAAAATGCACACAGAAGTGGATTTGTTGACTACTGTTTCTCCTAGTTTTGAAAGACTCTGGAAGTCTACAGACTACCAGAATTTAATGCACATTCCAAAGTTATGGGGTAAGCACTGTATAAAATATAAAATTCTAACTCTAAACATAAGCAGTATGAGTTAATTAAAAACTTAAAAGTTCAGAGTTGCAAAGATGGCTCACCAGTTGAGCACAATCATTAACAATCAGTTATACATAATAAGTTATGCATAATCAGTTAAGCATAATCGTGAGCACCCATGCAAGCCCCACATCCCTCACAACCAGATCCAAGGAAAATGAAGACAGGAAAATCTCTAGGACTTGCTGGCTTCCAGCCTAGCAGATAAAAGCAGTCCCAGGCTCAGGAAGAAACCCTGCCTCAAAAGAATAGATAGAGAATGGTAAAGTGGGTTACCCAGTGCCTTCTTCTGGCCTCCACAGACGTGCATAGCATGCACAAATGCACACATACTCACACAAACACACATAAGCAAACAAATAATTTAAGCAAATAAAAGGGGCTGGAGAGACAGATCAACCATTAAAAGCACTGGCTACTCTGCCAGAGAATCTTTGTTTGATTCCCAGCACCCATATGCCAAACAGCTGTTTGTAACTCCAATTTCAGGGGATCCAATGCCTTATTCTGACCTCTATGGGCACACATGCAGTCTATATACATACATGTGGGCAAAATGATCATACTTATAAAATAAAATAAATAAATCCAAACATATTTTAAGAAAACTAAAAAAAAAAAAATACTTAAAATTTACAATAAGCCTACAGTGTAAGCTGGTGCAACAGCAATTAATTATTTAAATGTTAATTAAATAATGAATGGCTGCCAAATGTGGATTTAAAGACAAAACAAACACAACTTTTCAAATAACGTCCCATTCATAATTGTAGCAATATATATATATATATTTTGAGCTTCTTACTCCCTAAGAATCACATACTCCAAATTTAAAAAATTCAAACTAATGCTGCTTTATGTTCAGCCAACAACTTTTTTATAGAAAGAGCCGGGTAGTAAATATTTGAAGCTCATTCAGCCATACCATTTTACAGTTCAAATGCAGCCTAAGGATCCATGACTGTCTGTTGCCAGTAAACTTTCTTACAAACACTGAACTTTGAATTTCATGGCATTTTCAAGGTCGTGAAATATTAATAGTCTGATTTTTTTTATATTTACCACCTAAAGTATTTAAAACATTTTTATTTAGTCCGTGGGATGTACAAAAACAGTCTTAGTCCACGCATCAGTTTGCCAAGCCTTTTGGCAGTTATATTCTTTGACGGTGAAAACAGTAATGTAGGGACTCCATAATTGGCCCGTTTGGGATTTTTCCCTGGTGGGCTGTGATAGTGTTTGTTTGGCTGTACTAATTTCATCCACCATGCTTCCAGGGGACTTCTCTGCAAGCCACCTACCATCCCTGGAAGGCTTGACTTAGTTATAGCTAAGGTACGGGTGACACCTTGTGGTTACATTGCAAATGGCAACTGCCCCGGAAGTTACCATAGAGGTGTAACCTCCAGGGAGGATGAATCCACCAGGCCTCTCTACCTGGCAGCCTGGCTGGCTCCTGGGATAGTTTGGCAGACAGCAATTGTTGTGTGATTGTAGTTGTGGTTGTTGATGAAGAGGAGCAAGATAAAGTTCACAGTTCAACATCTGACTGGCTCCCAAGAGGGCATCCAAAGGCAGTTCTTTCTGTTTTACGACAGTAGCAGCTGCAGTTTCCAGAGCAACACTTAGTTCCCCTGGCCTGGTTATCGTCGTTAACATCTAAGAAGGAAAGAGAAGCTGGACACTCTTCTCAGATGGCCACAGAGGAGAAAGAAGGCCTGAACTACTGTTGAAAACCGGAAGTTGAAAGCCAGGCATGAGGCCACAGCACATACCTGTGACCTCAGCCCTCCCCCTCTGGAGGCTAAGGCGAGAGACTAAGAAGCCTGAGGCCAGCCTGGGCCATGCAGTGAGACAGTGTCTCAAGAGAACAACAGCAAAGACAGAAGTTCCACACTGGAAAATGGTGACCAAGGGTCTTAACGGCAAAGACAAGTAATTGAAATGTCACCGTGGCCCTGAGGCAAATGGAATTCTGTGCCTTGAAGGTTCTCACCAACGCCCTTGTAGTTCCATAAAAGCAGAGAGGGCTCAGGGTGCCGGGGCTTCTCCCTAGGTTCTGTAGTCACATAAGTCACTTCAACAGCCTCCTCTTTGTAGGTGACAAGCCCCGAGAGTCTTGCATAGTCTTACATGTATGTCTACCCTTCACAGCTACAGAAATGGATCAGGTGGGCCAAGATAAGAAAGAATGACTCAACTGTGGGCACCCTCAGCATAAGCAAAAAAAAAAAAAAAGCGGAATGGTTGGGGGTAGGTGAGCTGGCAAATGCTGGCTACTGAGAAAGGGCACAGGGCAGAGGGCTAAGTCTTGCACTGAGAAAACAAGATTCTGAATCCAGTCTAGACCCAATCCGTCCTGATGCAAATGTTGAGTTCTGCGGTCCTGAAACGGCCGTCCCTCTTCTTGGGCGCTACTGTCTTCTGCAGGAAGACGTGGTGTTCAGCGGAGTGAATGGACTTCCCTTATCTTTATATGTATTCGGAGCTGTAGGCAATGCAGTAAAAGGGACCTGACCACCTTTCCTCCTGTCACCAAGGCAGCTGGCATACTTGTGTAAGAAGACGGGCTGGAGAAGTACTTTCTCCCAGGGGAAAAGGGAACTTAGTGGTATTGAATCCATTTTCCCTCCCTGATGGTAAGCTCTCAGCGCTCCACTAGCCTCAGAAGAAAGCAATTAAGCGCCCTTGCTAGACTTGACAGGGAGGCTTTTTTTTTTTTTTTTTTTTTTTTTTTAAGTTCTGAGGTGGTTCTTAATGGACAGCGTGGTTTCCGTGTGACTTTCCTGCTTCTCACTTGTGTTGTCCATTAAAGGCTCTGGAACCTTCTCCAAAAGCCTCTTTTAACACTGCCTGCTCTGTACAGTCATCTGAACACTGTCGCTGAGAACAGGGCAGTGTGTCTGTTCCCAGCACCTGGCTCTAGCACAAGTCCCCTCTAGGACTTGCCTTCAGGGGCTGTCCAGCATTACAGGAATTGGCGTGGGTCGTCCCGCAGAAAAGAGGAAAAAAGTTGTATTTGACACTTAATTACTTAACGGTGGGGAGGGACTCGCTAGCTCCTGATGGTTTTACATTTCATCCCTTTTTTTTTCCCCCTCCTCTCCCTCTTTTCTGTTTCTGTCTCTGACCCCAGGGGAGGGGAAACGGGAATAGTGAGAGATCAAAAATAAACCTCTTATGTCAAAGCCGGGAAGGAAGTATAAATATGAAGGGCTCGGCAGCCCACTCGGTGCTTCCCGGGGAAGGAGGCGACTGCACGGGACAGCGCGGAGGACGCGCGCTCGCGGTCCGGGGCGCCAGCTGCTCCAGCTCTGCTAGGTTGGCTGGCGGACGCCAGGAGGAGCGGGCTGCGCGAACCGGAGGGGCCGCCAGGGGACCGCCGCGCCTGCTGCCGCTGGCCGAGGCGGCCTCCCCGTCTGATTGATCATTTTTCCTGGAGAGAGCGGCCCGGCCGCCTCGGGCCACCAGCACCTGCCCGGCCTTCTTCCCTCTCCCGCTCTCCGCAGCCCTCCGCCCCCATGCTCCGAGACCCCACCGCCGCTCGGTGGCCGCCCCTCCTCCTGCCGCTGCCCCTGCTGCTGCTGCTGCTGCTGCCGCTACTGCAGCTGCCGCCGCCGCCACTCGTCTGTGGCGCCCCGGCGGGGCCGGGAACCGGGGCGCAGGCCTCGGAGCTGGTGGTGCCCACGCGGTTGCCGGGCAGCGCGAGCGAGCTCGCCTTCCACCTGTCCGCCTTCGGCCAGGGCTTCGTGCTGCGCCTGGTGCCCGACGCCAGCTTCCTGGCGCCCGAGTTCAAGATCGAGCGCCTGGGGGGCTCGAGCGCGGCGGCCGGGGGCGAGCCGGGGCTGCGCGGCTGCTTCTTCTCGGGCACGGTGAATGGGGAGCGGGAGTCGCTGGCGGCCGTGAGCCTGTGTCGCGGGCTGAGCGGTTCGTTCTTGCTGGCAGGCGAGGAGTTCACCATTCAGCCTCAGGGCGCTGGGGACTCCCTGGACCAGCCCCACCGCCTGCAGCGCTGGGGACCCGGGCAGCGCCGCCAAGACCCCGGGCTCGCAGCCGCGGAGGTCTTCCCCCTCCCTCGGAGACTGGAGTGGGAAGTGGAGATGGGTGAGGGGCAGGGACAGGAGAGGAGTCACAACAAGGAGGACAGGGAGCAGGACGAAGGGGGGTCGCGCAAAGACGCAGAAAACTCCCGCGAACTGCCCCCACCCTTCGGATCCAAAACTAGGAGCAGGAGGTTTGTGTCCGAGGCTCGCTTCGTGGAAACCCTGCTGGTGGCTGACGCGTCCATGGCCGCCTTCTATGGGACGGACCTGCAGGTAGGAGCCTTCCGCAGACTCTTACACTCCTTTGCTTACCCGATGACTTTCAATCCTTCCCTTCCCAGTGGGGGGGAAATCCCTCGCGCGTCCAAGCCCAACCCCGAAGGGGACTTTCTCCTTTCTGAGAAAGAGCAGTAACTCCATTAACTTCTGCCGTCCCTGCTTCCTACTTCCCGACCCCTTCCAGTTTACAGTAGAGGAGCTGGCTGTCTCTTTTGAGGTGGCATCCTGAGTCTCCCGCAGTCCCCAGGCACCTGCTTCTCCCAAAGGAAAACAGCACGTTGTGTTCAAAGAGCCCTGCCCTCCTAGTCCAGCTTCCTGCACCTCTTTACTGTCCGAGACTCTCTGAGACTCCCTAGTACAGGAAGCTGGGCTGGGACAAGGTGCCTGGGACTGTGTTTGGGTACAGAATTGAGGTTCCTGTAAGTAAAAGACTTTAGAGGGAACTGAACCTGGAAGGAGGCTGTCCAACTTCTGTACGCCCAGGTGGTTCTGATCAAGGGGCATGGGCTACCTTGCCAACCTGGCGCTCAGCCCCGGCAGAACTTGGCAATGCCAGCATCCAGCGCAAGAAGGAAGGAGAACAGAATTTCTGCCTGGAGGCTCAGCCCAGGAAACTGAACTTTCAGTGAGAAAGGGGAGGAACCAGGGCTAAAGGATGGACTTTTTCAGTTACTGTATTCGAAGAACCAGGGCTGGGCTTGGTCTGCCTGCCTCCTTACACCTCATACACCGCAGCCCAGAGTCAGCTTTCAACTGACCTAGGCAGAAAAACTTGAGGCCGGGACGCTATGGCTAGTAGCTGAACATTCCTTACTGCATGCGGTTGGTACTGACTCGGCAAGAAGTCTTCCCCAATCTGTCCCTACGAAGACAGGGCAAAGATCTTACCAGAAGGAGAAGGGGTAAGAGTCCCACTTCCTGGACATAGGGAACCGTAAATGTTAGCTCAGTAGAGAATACTGACCCGTTCAGAGATCAGTCAGGGATCCCAGCATCGACAGTGATCATGTCGTTGATCAGGGTCCCCATCCTAGCTAGACCCAACCCGTGCCTGGCTTTTTTCGGTTGTAGGCTGAGTGGGGCATGGGCATTACCTTTGCAGAATGGCCAGACAAAGAAACAGAGCCTACTGCTTCTCGTGTGATCTTTCCTACCCTCCCCGGATGATGATGATGTGCTTGATGAGAAAGTTCCAGTGAGAACCAGGTGGGGAGGGCTGTTCTATCCACTGCGCAGACCAGTTAAACCTGGAGCAGGATGTCCCTGAGTGCTCTTGTGGTGGCAGCTCTACTCAGAACACTGCAAACAGCTCTGAGCCATCGGCCCTCCTGAGGTTTGCTCTGTGCTGATGTCATATTTGATCCTCTGCCTACCCTAAGAGGAGGCACCAGCCACTTCTTCTGACCCCTTTCACCCCAGTAAGTATTGGAGATGCAGAGAAGGATGAGGAGAAGGCTTCCCAATTCACCGAGACCACTACATCTAGCTCCAGGCTTCTCCAGGAACAAACCAGAGCTAAAAAATTATATCTATTCCCCAACTGGACCAATCTCTGACATCTGCTTGATGCCCAAAATGTAGAAAGACCAACAAGAACATGGAGAAAATTCAGGACAAATCAGTTTTTAAGAACACAGAGCCAAAATGTCCTCCCTAGCACCTCTCTCAGCTCCTCATTTAAACACTGAGTTGTTAAACATTTCCTTCGAGGAGGTACTTGGCATCCCTAAAGTCCACAGCTGTCCATGCCCCAGAATTCTCGAGCTACTGAAGCAGGACATCTGGTTCTGTCCCAGGTTATGCTGGCTTCTGCCTGAGGTCCAGGCGTGTTGCTCATACAAGTTGGCTTTCACTGTGAAAAACAAGTCCTGGTACTTTGAGACCTGGCTGATTCAAAACTATCTCCTCCATGCCGAAGCCAGTCCTTAACATGTAACCTGCAAGGAGGCTCTGGGCAATTCATTCACACAGATGGGAGTCACTTTAGGGTGTCTTTGGGTCATGGGGGTGTTGGTGGTGATGATAAGAGTCCCTGATCCTTTAAGGTGCTTGGACAAGGTAATAGTTTCTTGTCTAGGCATCCGTGAGACTGCTTTCTGATGAGCCCAACTTCTGGATTGTTCCACTGCTCTCTGAGCATGTTCCATTATAGGTTTTACATGCATGACCTCAACAGAAATGCCTGTGAGAGAGCAAGAGGAAGAATATACAGCTCAGAGGGCTTGTAGCTTTCCTAAGGTCACACTGCTGACTGTGGCAAACTAGATTTGCCTCATAACCCGTTTCCTGATCCTAAGTCTAGCATTCTTTGTTGCTGTATCATACTGTATCTTCTCATGAAGAAGTTCCATGGTTCTGTTCACTCTCTAATGGCTGTCTATATTGTGACATGCTCCTTAAATCCAGGAGTCTCAAGATGCCCCATCAAAGTGCCAAGTCCCATTCAGAAGCTTTGCCTTCAAAGATTCAAGAAAGAATTGGCTATGATCCAGACTAGTGTCATTGCTAAGTGACAACGACATTTATCAGAACTCAGAACTCAGCAAGTGAGTTCACTTAATCCCTCCACCTACTTATCTGGCTGCAGAGTTAAGGGCTCATCATAAGGCAGCCTCAGAGATGCTTAGATCAGAACGCATTACCTTGTCCAAATGCCTGTTCTTCCTTAAAGGACTAGGGCTCTTCTTACCATCAACACCCCATTACCCAATTTACCCCAAAGTGACTTCTATCTGTATGAATGAATTGCCAAGAACCTCCTTGCAGGTTTCGTATTAAGGACTGACTTCTGTATGAAGGGGGTGGCTTTGAATTAGCCAAGTCTCAAAGTACCGGGACTCGCTGGTTTTCTCAGAGAAAATCAACTTGTGTGAACACACCTGGTCCTCCTTCAAAACACTCAGGAATTCTGGAGCCTTGGACAGCTGTGGTTTCTGTCAGAGTTGTGACAAAGGGAGCTTTCTGAAAAGAGGGACCACCTCAGGAGAGTCCATTAACTTTGTGTACATCTCAGACGCTACTAAGTGTCCCCTGGGTGGACTTGGAGCAGAACAGAGTCCCAGCAGTAAGCGGTTCTCCTTTCCCAGAGCAAAAGGGAGCATTCCCAGGTGCAAGGATCCTGGGAGCTGATTCCAGGCAGAGACTGTCACGTCATCTCATTTACTTACCTCTACCTTCTGTGGTGAATGTTCCCCACAGGCCCTAGGGCTATAGCTATCCTATACCCTGGTTTGCCCAGAGGAATCTCTGCCTGATAGCATCAATATAAAGAGTGTCATCTTTTGCTGTCGTAGTGTGCTGGTTTGGATGATACGCAGGTACAAGCTTCATCAGCTCTGTAGTTATGTCAATTTTCATGGGTATAAAACTGTTACGTTCTATTAATTATGTTCAGCCTACCTTCCAAACACTGGGTCCTTTCCAGCTCTTGTATCTTCTGCAGCCAGAATGACCAAAGAGACTATTTCCCCCCAAAAATGTCCAAATATCAAACATTGTATGTGTGTAGATCGTGGCAGGGCAGCCTGGCTTGCTTATTTGCTTGCTTTGAGTTTTGTTTTCCTTGTAGCCGCCAAGACTGATGGTAGTGTGGCCAGGAACATAGACTTAGGAGGAAAATAGAAGTAACTGAGAATTCCTAGGCAAGTATCTATCTCTCTGTACCTTGATTTCTTCACCCAAGTCCTAAGATTGTCTTGAGAATGTAACAAAACATGAAGCACATCTGAGCCGGGGCATGGTAGACAGTTGATGCTCAGCAAGACATAGCTATTCCTAGAGTTGCCATGCCCTTAGTGGTTGAAAGCATTTGTCAGACTGGGCATAACGGTGTGGCTACACATCGCTGGAATGCTAGCTACTGCTTTTCAGCTTTGCTGTCCTACATGGCAGAGAAACCATCTTTGCAGATTGCCTCAGCTCTGAATGTCTATAGTCGGTCAGGAAGTTCTGAATAAGGGTAGCTTTTGCAGCAGCAACACCTCTTGCTGTTCAGGAAACAAGGTGTGATAAAGGATGGCTATGTGAATCTTGCTCTTCCCTCTCCCTCTGCTTCTCTCGTTCCTCCTTACAGCACTATCCTAGGCCCTAGAGTCATACCAGGAAGGCAGATAAGAATAGCATATGTGGACATACATTACCATTCTTCTGATGTCCCCAGGTGTGCCACACAGTACTTAGTACCTACTGTGCGAGAGCAGATAAGGAAAGTACTACAGGTGACATTGTAGCCAGGATGAAGAGCCACTGGTAGTGCATTTTGCCAAAGCTCAGCCTCCTCAAGGATCCCAAAAGTAGGCTTTGATTGCCACAGAAGCATCCAAGATCCTAGGGAAGGAAGTCCTTACTTGTAGCTCAAAGAATTCTGGGTGTACTGATGAAGAAGACCTCAGAAAAGAATGCCACTTTTACCTAAGAAAAGTTAAGTTGTTTGATGCACCTTGACCATAGTATTCATGGGCTTCGATCACTCTGGCATAGTTCTGGAGGTTGCCTGCCAAACAACAGGGTCCTCAGTCAGTAGGGGAGAATCTCGTTCCCACTCCCATTTAGCTCACAGTTTGTACTTGTGTGGTAAGCAGAGAGGTATAAATAGACACCAGGTGGCAGAGCAAGGGAGCCATTTGACCTTTTCCTTGACTGGCACCTGGGCCTGCTCCCTGTATCTCTAAGTCAGGTCCATCCTTCAGGACCTAGAGAACAGATGGGGAGTCAGAAGCATACAGACTCCAGCCATACCTACCCCATGCTTAGCAACCCTTGTCCCTGGAGAACTGAGATGTGTCTAGAAGACCTAGCTGGACATGGAAGATAGTGGAGATGACCTGCTTCTCAGTAAGACAAGGACTGGAGGTTCTGAAAAGAGCACTGAACCATGAAATCTTTGTGACCCTCCACTATGCAGATTACCTTCTGAGATCGTCAGTGACAGAGAAGAACTTAAAATGTCTTCATAGCCTTCAGCAGTCTCGCCTGACTGCTGTTCAATATGTGGAGAAAAGGATCTCATAAATTCTCTATACTGTCCATAAATTCCTCCACGTAGCCCTTTGCCTCTTCTCTGAGGAACTAGTGAACTATCTGTCACTCTGCCTAAATCTGGTTTGGTGTGATCAGCTTGTGTATACAGACCATTCTCAGACCCTGAAATCTTCTAGTTCCTCACAACCTCGGTTGAACGTCTAGAAATCAGCATCTTGCCCTCATACTGTTTTGAAGAGACTTCATCTTCCCTAGTATTCAGATCACTGAACTGGAACTCAACAGGAAGAAATCCCGGAAGAATAGCTGCAGACTTCTCCAGAAGAGATTCCCAGGGGTTGGTCCAGTCAGATCCTAGCCTCATTAGACAGACCAGGAGACTGTCTGTCCTCCCTCAAGAAACAGTGAAGATCTGGCCAGGGACTTGTCTCTCAAGCTACCATTCCTCAGGGCTCACCCCCAGTTGCATAATGATGTGATTGCATTTTTCCCCTCAGCAATCCAACTCACAGAACAAATGCCAAGTTGCAGCTTTGCTGATAAGATGTTTACACCAGCCTAAACAAGCTGGAGTGCATGGCATACTAAGTAACCTGAGCTCAGAAACCTGCCAGCCCATTTGTGGGAGTAACGAAACATCTGGTCTATTGCTGGCAGGACGAACAGACAGGTCCCATTCACACATAATGAAACGCATCTGGAACTCCCACACATGGCCTTCCTCAATGGAATGTCCCCTCCATAGCCTTTCCTCCTCTTCTACTCCCACCTCTTAGGCCACAGGAGAACAGAGAGAGAAGCGGAGGGAGGTGAAGCTTCAGGAAGCAAAAAAAGGCAAAGCACGCAAGCAACTGCTCAGCTGGCCACACCATGGGCTCAAGGCATGCCAGCTTGTCACCCTTTGTCTCTGCCTCTGAAAAATAAGCCATGAGGTCCCTGAGGCAGGACAACAAGCTCCCATCTGGCCTCCCCTCAAAGCCTTGGAATCCAGCAAGAGAGCAGTTGGCAGTTCAAGGATAGGCCAGAGGCCAACTAATGACGTAGTTGCATAGGCTCTTCAGTTGGCCTGGGTGGAACTGCGAGCAGGTGGGATCCTCTGCATGTGGGTCTCATTAGGCCCTCTGGCTTCTCTCAAGCCTCAAGGAGACGTGCATAAATACTGGGGGTGGGGACACTGTTCAGGCAGAAACCAGAAGACTGAACTCTGGGGAACTCTAGAAAGGAATGTGGAACCTCGGACACACACCTGGGCTGGCATCTTGGCTTTAATAGTAGCGTGATCTTCAAGAACTTACCGAACTTGAATAACTCTCTCATTCAGAAGCAGAATGTCAGTGGCCTGCTGCTGTGAGAAGTTAATGAGTTGATGTATCAACGCGCCGCCACCAGTGGCTACTGCAGAGTAGCTGTTGCTAATTGTTAGAGCAAAGTTTTCAGAGTTAATGGTTCCCATGCTAAAAAGTAGATGTTATCCCGGTGAACATCGGGAAAATGCTCAGACAGATTCTAAGAGGGAAATTCCATTCACTGTGAGTCCTCAATTATTGCTTCTGGAGTGATGCCAGGCAAGACGGGTTCCCTGGCAAGGAACCAGTTGGTGTTCCGGGCAGTCAGGATAAGCCATCCAACCCAAGAGAACTTTTTATTTGCAGTTCAAATATATACAGCTTTTGATGCATTGGAAATGTTGTTGGTGCAATGGAAGAGCTGTCTGTGTAGAATTTAATTAATTCCTAGGAAGTGGGTCACACATGAGCTGGTCTGGATGTTAAATGAGTAAGTTTTGTGATCACACGGGTCCAGGTTCAGATGATGGTTCATTGGGCTTGTAATCTTGGACAAGCCATGAAGGCTTGGTCATCTTCTCTGTGGAAACAACACCAAGTCCTCAAATGTCTTGATGCTACTCCTCCTGGGGTGCTACACAGCTAAAGCTCAGTCCAGAGCCCAGCATGTGTGAGATAAGTGTCTCCTAACAAGAGGTGGTAGGAGAGGACAGCCAAAGCCATGAAAGTGATAGTGTTCTTCCGCTGTCCCCTCCTCCCCGGTAGAACCACATCCTCACAGTGATGTCAATGGCAGCCCGACTCTACAAGCACCCGAGCATCCGGAACTCCATCAACCTCGTGGTGGTGAAAGTGCTGATAGTGGAAGAGGAAGGATGGGGCCCGGAGGTGTCGGATAACGGAGGTCTCACACTGCGCAACTTCTGTGGCTGGCAGCGGCGCTTCAACAAGCCCAGCGACCGCCACCCAGAGCACTACGACACCGCCATTTTGTTCACCAGACAGGTGTGTGGGCTGGGAAAAGCCCAGGGACTCTGAAAGCCCAGAAAGATGGGAGATGGGATGGACAGATCAAAGGGAGGGCTTTTGAGGCCTTTCCAAACATGGGAACTGTCTCCCTGCTGGCCCCAGCTGGACTTTGGAGGCCTCTTGCTGGAATGATGAGGAGGTCATGAGGACAAGTGTGAGACCGTTGCAAGGGGAGAAGAATCTAATAAGGGCTCTTTTCCAAAAGTTTGTGACCAGCTGTCTGCTGAGGTCATATCAAGAGGAGACAGACTCAGGCAACCCCGAGAGAGGTCTGGAAATGGAAAGGGGAAGGGAGTTCTGTCTTCAGTCTGGTTAGTCATTGAGATGGTAACCTGGAGTTTTCACATGGGAGGATGGCTGTGGTGACTTAAACAGCTTCCCTGAAGGCCCGTGAACCCAGTCATGTGTGCCAGGCCAAGGCCATCTGTCCTTACAAGAGCCACAGGTGGAAATGAAATGCTGTTCTATCGGATTTTGCAACTGAGGTAACTGAGGCACCAAGAGGCCATAGAGCAGGAAGGAGTAATGCTCAAGTTAAGCCCAAGCCTTCTTACTGTAGAGCTAGACTTTGAGCAATTGTGAAGATCTACCTCTCAAAGCAGGCCTTGGGAGTCCCAGGCAGACCAACTATCACTCAGTGGCCCCCTCCTGCTGCCACACGAGTGTGTGTGTGTATATAGATATAGATATATACTTGCATGAGTGAGCACCTGCACGAATGCAGGGACACATAGCCATACACACACATGCACATGTGGTCTTGGTGTGGATGTTGGTGCTGTTTGAATGATATGTTTCTTGAGCTCCTCTCTAGTTTAGAAAAAACAAGGATAGGTGAACTAACTGTCACAACCAAGACAGAAAGCCCAAGGAGTCAGGACAATGAGGTGGAATGTCTAGATTGTAAACTCTACTGATTATCCCATTCTTTTTTAAACACTTTGGAAGGCTCAGTAATGCTTCCACCATCAGGTGCCTCTCAGAAGGCTGACTGGCGCAGGGGGCACTTACTCCTGGTCTCCGTGCCTAGCCCTGTAACCTAGCATGCTCTCTTCACCAAAACAGAACTTCTGCGGGAAGGGGGAGCAGTGCGACACCCTGGGAATGGCAGACGTTGGCACCATCTGCGACCCCAACAAGAGCTGTTCAGTCATCAAAGATGAGGGACTGCAGGCAGCCTACACCCTGGCCCATGAGCTAGGTAAGTCTTGTCATGGCAGGGTTTGCTTCAGACATCAGCAGAAGCTGCCTCCTTTAAGTATACAGCTGCTTGTATTCTGAGAAGGAGGCAGCCTCACATGTAGCCATTGACCAAGTAGTTCTATATAGATAGATGTTATACTTGACATTACTGACTCCACTCCTACTCTGAGCATAAAACAAGGTGCTAGATTGGTGTCCTGCACCATCAGCAGCATTACCCAGAGAATGCCAAAACATGGAGGAAGTGTTCGGTTACTGTGATGATGTAAGTAAGCTAAGTATTCAGGCTTTATGGGAAGATGGATTATGAAGAGAGAGCCATGTTAGACAGCCAACAGTGAAAGTGAATTGAGATCCTTTTTGGTCAAAAAATGAAAGATCTCAGTGGTCCTCAGTTCTCTGAAAAGAATTCCTGGAAGTAGGATGCTGAGAGTAAGACCTAAAATGAAAGTGTTCGGGGGGGGGGGGGGCCCTGTGTGGCCAATGAGGAGATGGTAACAGGAAAGGATTCCTGAACCCATCAACACTGCTGGTCACATAGGGAACATATGGGCAGGACAGGGCACCTGAAGGTGGGCAGCTAGAATGAACCACACCTCTCTGCTCCTCTCACCCACAACCAGGGCACGTTCTCAGCATGCCCCATGATGATTCTAAGCCCTGTGCGAGGCTGTTTGGACCCATGGGCAAGTACCACATGATGGCGCCATTCTTCATCCACGTGAACAAGACGCTACCCTGGTCTCCCTGCAGTGCTGTATACCTCACAGAGCTTCTGGATGATGGTCACGGTATGCCTCACTCAGCTCCCCACCCCCACCCCCGCCCATCTTCTAGAGAGCCTCTTTCATGGCTGTTGGCACCTGCTCTGCCTTGGGGACTCTCTGCAGCTGTGCTTTCTCACAAAGCTTATAGGGTGGGGAGAGACTTCAGAGGCATGTCATTCTAGAAAGGCATGCTAAGCATCTTCCCAGAATGCTCGTCCTTGTCCTCATCTTCCCATAGCCCAAGCTCTGGGCTAACTTAGATTTATTCACTCCAAAACAGAAGGAATTACTCTGAGAAGGTTGTCTAGAAGTGGTGAGTTTAAGCAGAATGTGAAAGAATAGAAGACTGTTTGTAGTTTGAAAGAGCAAAGAAGAGAATGTTCCAGGCTGGAGATGACAAAAAGAGTGTGGCAGGTCACAAGATAGCAAGAACATAGGGCAGGGGTGCCTGGATAAAGAATTTTAGACTGTTGAACAGAGCAGTATTCTAGATTCTTCTAAAGGAGGCGGGGATACAGCCGATGTGAAAATAGCAGACTGCACAAATGTCAGTACTCAGGCTTTATTTGCATGTCAGGGTTCTTAAGCTTTAAGTGGGATGTGCAGTCGCTAGATGCATAGTGAGTGTCACAGGGAATGTACCTGACATGTTCTGGACAGCAAAAGAAAACTCATCCTGCAGAAACCTTTGCTACAGTTGCCCAGAATTAAACAAGTTCCATGTACGTGGTTGGATGTTGGTGACATTTAGATCAAAGATGAAGAAACCAGTATGCCTAGATACTAAAGTACATCATTCAGAACTGGAGCTTAGTGTAGGAGCTCAGAAGACCATGCAGAGCTGAGGGCAAGGCCCTCCCCTTGTTCTGACTCAACTGTTTTCTCTGTTCTCAGGAGATTGTCTCCTGGATGCCCCCACCTCGGTCCTTCCCCTCCCTACAGGGCTCCCAGGCCACAGCACCCTCTATGAGCTGGACCAGCAGTGCAAGCAGATCTTTGGGCCTGACTTCCGCCACTGCCCCAACACCTCTGTGGAAGACATCTGCATGCAGCTCTGGTGCCGTCATCAAGATAGTGATGAGCCCATTTGCCACACAAAGAATGGCAGTCTGCTCTGGGCTGATGGTACACCCTGTGGCCCCGAGCGCCTATGCCTGGATGGCAGCTGTGTGCTTAAGGAGGAAGTGGAGAATCCCAAGGTGAGGAAAATAGATAGGAGATAAAGGGAGGAGAGGAAAGCTGGAGGGAGATGAAAAGGCTGTATATGTGAGAGTCAGGAGCTAAGATACTCCAGGCCAAGCTGCAAGTGTTACTTATCAGAAAAATCAGTTGTCCTTCAAGAAAACAAATGGCAATTACCCCCACATTGAGGTTTGCTCATGTCAAGGGGATGTTGCCATTGCTTCATGGAGTTTATCATCTCCTTTTTGGTGCTGTTTTGTAGCTAATTTGAGAACTTACACAGATTAGTGAAAGTGTGAAGACCAGAAAGTGGGCACTCAACAAATGAGAGCCTAGAGGACTCTACTATAAATAGAGAGTGACATGGAATAGGAACATTTCATCAAGGACTGAGTATTCATAGCCTACCATGTTTAAGCTGAGCGCCTTAGTAGAAATCAGAGAATACGCGCAATGGTAAGAATGTCAAACTCCAATAGAGAAGGGATCCGAGTGGCCTGTGTCCAGAAGGAGAAAGCTTGGCCCAGTACAGAGGAAACTTGTGTGAAAAACCCAGGCAGCGCCAGCGAGGGTTTTCAGCGGTTCACTTATTCTCCCTGCTCTTAATACATCCAAACAGCAAGGCTGATCACATTTCTCTTACTGCAAGTCATGGAGCCTTCGTGATGAAATACCATCCGATGAGTTTCACAGCCTGGGCCCTGCCCAGAACTGAATCGCCACGGTGGCCCGAGCACGTTCCAAGGGCTGTCCTTGGTGGCATGCTCTTGTGCTAAGCTTGGGAGACTTCCTGGGCTGTGGGAGCCACACACTCCCATCTGAAGACTGGGCTGGCTCAGCATTCATGGCTTCCAGCTCAGCCACTTCCTGTTATCCCCATTCATTCTCTCCTCTTGGTGTTGAGAGAAGAGGAGAACCACCCATCTCAGAGGCAGGACCAAGCAAGCTTCGAGAGTGACATAAAACAGTCGGGAGATCATCTGTCCTTAAAGAGAAAAGGCAGGATTGGAAACTGACTTTCGTGTGCTGTGCCATGCCTCTGACAAGGGAAAGCACCGCTGCTGTAGGATGGTGTATTTGGAGGATACTATGAAAACCACAGGAGTGGTCTCTTTCTGGGCAGTGGTACATTTTGTTAGCTTGCTTTCTTTCTTTTTTCCTGTATTTATTTTTACAGTCTTCTGTTTTCATTTTTATATGAGCAAAGTGTTGCTTTAGTAATAGAAAAAAATTAATTTAGAACCCTTGATGGAGCTATTGAAGGAAAGGCTTTTTTTTTTTCTCATAAGTCAGTTGTAAACTTGGAAGTGCTTCTGCTTGTTGCCTCAGCGCGGCCCTAACCCTCGAACCAGTAGTCAATAGAATTGTGGCAAGACTTCTCAGTAGCCATTTCTTTAGACCAGGGTTTCTCAGCCTTGGCGCTATGACAGTTGGAGCTGGGAAAGGCTTTGGGGGAATTGCGCACTATTGGTTATTTAGAAAAATTGTTGTCTTGATCTGCTAAATGCTAGTGACATATATCCTCCCCAGATGAGGCAACTACAATGACCCTAGACTCCTCCCATTGAGAACAACATGGACACCTATTGCCCCTGACCCAAACTTATCCCTCATACTTTCCCTCACACTGATTCAGCAGATACTATGTTGAGCACCTGGCTAGGGTAAGATACTGTTTCATATACATGGGGCAGTCACTGCAAACAAACCTAGCACAGCCTCCGTGCTCACTAAGCTGCATCCAAGGAAGCCACACTATCATTAAACAGGCAGTTGAAATCACTTACAGAACTCCATACGCTCAGAAGAGAATAACTAGACGAGGAAGTCAGACCCACAGCCACCAGGTAGCATAAACAAATGAAATCTGCTCCCCTCTGGTCCTGATGCAGTGGCATTATGTGTTGCAGGCTGTGGTAGATGGAGACTGGGGTCCATGGGGACCCTGGGGAGAATGTTCTCGCACCTGTGGAGGAGGAATACAGTTTTCGAACCGTGAGTGTGACAATCCAGTGCCTCAGAATGGAGGAAGATTTTGCCTGGGTGAGAGAGTCAAGTACCAATCATGCAACACAGAGGAGTGTCCACCAAATGGTAATTACCTGCCGGAAGAGCTGATGATGTAGGTGCAACAGGTCCCAAGAGGAGGGGAGGGAAGTCTCCTCAGGTGCAGAGTTGAGCCCTGGTCCTGATTCTCATGGCCTCTGCAGGGCACCAAGCTTGAGAACAGTCCTCAAGTGCCCAGGACTGCTCTTACTTTAGGGAGAGGTTGGTGATGTCAAAGAAGGGACCAGGACCTTTGTCCTGGTCTTCTGAGCTGTAGAGAGACAAGGCATGTCACTGCCAACCAAATCTGTCTGGGAGGGACCTTTGAGGAGGGGTTGTGTGGAGGGTAATAATCCTCTCAGAGGCATCTGAACCCTTCTCTCCATGCAGATGGCAGCCTTTTTCAAAGCAAGTGTCAAAGCCAAACCTCCAAGGTCTCTCCAGCCAGCATTCAGCCCAGGCAGGAGGGAGGGTTTCTGAGTGTGATTGATTCCCGGGCAGCACATTCCTTCTGAGAAGAGCTGCCCATCTTCCCGTGGGGCCATGGCAACAGCCTGACAGAGCCTTCCCCAGAAGGAGAACTACCTCTGCCTCCCCTTGCTCATTCCTATCACCTAGGTCATGCTAGAAAGCACACACACAAACTCAAAGGTGGAAAGGGGCAGTAGCCAACTTAGTAAAGGGAATCAGAAAAAAAAAAAATTGCCACCATCTACTCCAGTGCCAGTCTGGGCAGCTCCAGGAAGTGTTGGCAATGTGAAAAGACAAGGGAAGCTTTAGGAGAAATTCCCCCAACTGCCAAGATGCCCTGGCATTGGGCTGGGTGCCTAATAGGAAAATCTGTGCACTCTGCAGTTTTGCTAAACAGGGAGGATCGGTGATGGTATGCGCTCTAGAAATTTCTTTCTGGTACTAATGAGAGTTGTCAAGGTAGGCCTGGATGATAGGTGACATTATAACTTCACATTCACGGAGACCAACCATTTCTATCTAGCGTCAGCCAGAGCCTCTGTGTCCATAGCTATAATAGATAAAGAAGATACAGATGCACAAGCATGGTCTCTGTTCTTTGCAATGCAGCTAATGATAAATTCTTTTACACAGGAATTGACTCTTAAGCTGTAAAGCAGCAACCCTGAGCTTCTGAGGAATTCAGGACAGGAAGCCTAGAGAGTTTAGGCCAAGCAAGGCTAGTGAGACAGGAGGTTATGTGCCAGCATGCAGCAGGTATGAGAAACACTATCATTTGCTCAGGTGGAGCCAATCAGAAGTTGCAGCGTGTCAAAGCCAGACCACAAAGGTCCGTAAAGCCTGAAACATAAAGCATATGTGGATTGTCCATGACACAACTATCTTATCAGGTCACCCTGATGGGGTTCCAGTTACAGCCAGGACCCCTTCGGCAGGATGGGCTCACAAACTCAACACTGCACATCTGTGTTTAGAAGTCTCCAGCCATTCAGATGCTAGGGTGGAGATGCGTGATAGGAAAGGCAGGCTTCATTCAGGATTCATTCAAGACACTCACTTCTGAAGGGTCTGAAGGCTGTGCACACATGCCTTCATGTGTGAGCACTGGAGAGGATCCCGGGAGGCTGAGAACTCATGCCCCAAAGGATGGCGTGAGGCCTGGGCTTGGGATTATGAGAGTTATAGGCAGGCATTTGAAATCACAGGTTTTCCTGAATTCAGCAGAAGACGTCATTGCTAGATTAGAAATAGTCCAGAGAGAGGTTCAGATGTTCAGGGTGCTGGGTGCCAGTCTCATTCTAAAGCATAATAACAAATGCCAAATCAAACCAATGATCAGATTTGGGGGTAATTATAGTACCTGCAGGTGGAGCTCTCCCTAAGATATTCAGAATTATAGAAAGTGGCAAGACCGGGGCTAGAAATATCACGAGTCTGCCACGAGTCTGTTGTTACTAGGGAAATCAGCATAAAGTATAATTAGCGGAGTCCTGAAAATGGAGCTCTGTGTCAATCATGCATCCTCGGCTGGAAAGGATACTGGTACCAGAAAACCCAATGTGAGTCTGGATGGCTCCTTTCCTTGGACCTTCGGGAAAGGGTCACCCATCCCCATCCAGGTGTGTCTAGAAACAATGGGCTTGCGCCTGTGTCCTTGGGATGAGTCTGAAGCCTAAAGAAAGACAGAAACCCTGGATTCAGATTTTTCACTACCAGAGTCCTTAAGCAGGTATCTTGCCTCTGTGCCATTCCTTACTCTTCTCAGGAAAAAGCTTCAGGGAGCAGCAGTGTGAGAAATATAATGCCTACAACCACACTGACCTGGATGGGAATTTCCTGCAGTGGGTCCCCAAATATTCAGGAGTGTCTCCCCGAGACCGATGCAAGCTGTTCTGCAGAGCCCGGGGGAGGAGTGAGTTCAAAGTGTTTGAAGCCAAGGTAAGAATCTCCTGGATTCAGACGGGGATGGGAGGACAGGCACGTATTGCCGCGCCCACCTGCAGATGGCTTCTGTGTGCCAGCCACATGCCCTCCCTTACCTCTCCCTTCCCAGGTGATCGACGGCACTCTGTGTGGGCCGGATACTCTGTCCATCTGCGTCCGGGGACAATGCGTTAAGGCTGGCTGTGACCACGTGGTGAACTCACCTAAGAAGCTCGACAAATGTGGGGTGTGTGGAGGCAAAGGCACTGCCTGTAGGAAGGTCTCCGGCTCTTTCACCCCCTTCAGGTGGGTCTCCTAGAGGTTGGACCCAGACAGAGGAACATAAAGGGCCTTGGGCACTGATGGCCTCGAGCTTAAATTACAGCTGCTAGCTAATAGTTGTGTAGCTAGATGGGGGATCTTATAAATACCTCAAGACTCCATTTCTCTACAGAACGTCAGTGGAGGTCTCTTCTGGTGGTCAATGTCAGGATTTCATGAGGTGGGAAATATAGAGCATGTGGAACAGGATCTAGCTATGGAGAGGATGGGACCAGGGCAGCCGTTATTTTATTAGAGCTGGAGGCCACATGGATGGGAATGTGTCAGCTCTGAGTCAGTTAGCAGGAGAGCAACTCTGAGTAACACAGGAGTCACCACAAAATGGCTCCCTAAGGGCTGTTACGGAGACCCTCAGGCCAGTGAAGCCTGTCTTTCCGTGACTAAATCTTCATCAGAGAAGAGGCCACAACCCAGGAGCTCAGCAGCCTTATCATCTAAGGACTTGGGGCTTTTCACATCCAAGCACCCCATATACATTAGAGCTCCCGGAGAATTCCAAAGCATTTTCATTCTATTGGGCAAGGCCAAAACTACATGAGGATTGAGGAACTGAGACAGGAAAGATTCATGGGCTCTGCTAAGGTCACACTGAGTTAGTGATAGACAGAAAGAGACCTTGGGTTTCTTCTCTTTTTCCCTTCCTCCTGCTGTGCTAGAGATTAAACCAAGGGCATCTCTGCATGCCAGGTCAGGTTCTTTAAGTACCAGGTAATTGTTTGTTTTCCACTGTGTCTTGCACTTTCTAGAGAATCCGGGAGACTAAGGTCAAGGCCAAGGGTTTCCTTTGTCACTCTGGTATCAAGTACACTCATGTGACTTTCTAGTGTTCAAGCCTTCCATCCAGTCCTCCTAGTACCTCAGAGTTTTTGTCTCCTGACTAGTCAAAGACCCCTCCATTCTCCATATTCCTCCTCTCTCTCCTTTCCTTCCTTTCTCCTTCACTCCCTCCCTGTTCACCTATCTTCTCATTTCTATGTACATATGGTAGTATGTTATGGTAGTGCCTATCTCAAAAAGATAGAACCATAAAATGAAAGTATTTTTAAATTTAAGCTCAAAATAAGTAAGGACAAAACCATATGCTCTCAGACCATGGGTCCCTTGGCCCCTTTCTTCTAGGTCCTTGACATACGGCCTTGAACACTTTCCCTAGCCTTAGACTGGCCCCCACTGGACATACAGAACGAAGAGTACAGAATCCATCTGATGTCTTTCCTCAATAGTTTATGCAAACCCTGTATAACCCAGATTCCCATAGAAGGGCAAGGAACCATGCCCCATGTCTACAGTTGCCTGGAAGTATTTTCCCTGAAAGTATCCCTAAAAATCATGGTGCTCATAGTGTCTGGGCACACCTAAGAGGTAGCTTGAAACAAGTTTTATCCATAGTATCAAATATTAGATGCAGCTTGACTCCATCCTGGCTGGGTTTTGACATGAGTGAACGGGGTCATTTTTTTTTTCACGTGAGTTTGAGCTCTAGGTCTAGAGATAGCCAAACCCACTTTTACCACTGCAAGACAGCAAATGAATTTGAGTTCTCACCTGAGCCAAGGAAGGGCCAGGTTACCTGCACTTTTCTCCTAGGCTCTCCTGTGTTGCTGTCTAGAGCTGCACATCTAACTGCCTCGGTGTCTACTGTAGATTTACCAGATGAAGCAAAAACCCATGGAAAGCCCAGTGCCCAAGATAATTCTATCTGCTTTGACATCAAATTAATTAGAACTTTGAGGCAATCACTTGATTATCTGCTAGTTGTTTTTTGTCTGTTCACACCCCCAGTCACCTGAGGGACCCATCTCCATTTCTAAGCTGGGAAGCCACCAGCCCTAACAGAGTTTTTCTATCTCTATCATAGTTATGGCTACAATGACATTGTCACCATCCCAGCTGGTGCCACAAACATTGATGTTAAACAACGGAGCCACCCAGGGGTCCGGAATGATGGCAGTTATTTGGCACTGAAGACAGCCAGTGGGCAGTACCTGCTCAATGGCAACCTGGCCATCTCTGCCATAGAGCAAGACATCTTGATGAAGGGGACCATCCTAAAGTACAGTGGTTCCATGGCTACCCTGGAACGGCTGCAGAGCTTCCAGGCCCTACCTGAGCCTCTGACAGTACAGCTCCTGACTGTGTCTGGTGAGGACTTTCCCCCAAAAGTCAGATACACCTTCTTTGTTCCCAATGACATGGACTTCAGCACACAGAATAGCAAAGAAAGAGCAACTACCAACATTATCCAGTCATTGCCCTATGCAGAGTGGGTGCTGGGGGACTGGTCTGAATGCCCTAGCACCTGTGGAGGTGGCTGGCAGCGGCGGACTGTGGAATGTAGGGACCCCTCAGGTCAGGCCTCTGACACCTGTGATGAGGCTCTGAAACCCGAGGATGCCAAGCCCTGTGGAAGCCAGCCATGTCCCCTGTGATCCCCTTGGTGGAAATGTCTTAGGCTTATGGACTTGAGCTACTGGGATATAGACAAGGGTCCTCTCTAAGGTGATACTACATATCAAGACGGTATGGCCCTTCCAGGCCTCCTGCCACTGCAACCCTTTGGGTACTGCCTGATTCGTAAGGAAGAGGAGAGTATGAGGGTGATGGATCCTAAAGCTGGCTGTCTAGTGGACTGGACCTTGCTTATGTTCAAGTAGAGGGTATAGATTAAAAGGTAAAAGTGCATTTATTGATCCAAATGGGAGATTTCAGAGCCAGCCTCTTTGCAAAGGACTAGCAAAGTTAAAGGGAAAAGAAGAAATTTGTTCTATTTGATTTCCCCAATAATCAATCTACCTCACAGCGGGGGGAAAATCAGTGTATGGGAGGTATGAGGCCAGGCATTGGGACGGTGAATGTCAAAGCAAGGTCCAGCACCATCTCGAGCTATCTTCAGATGGATGTCTTCGGTGTGGAAATCCATTGTCTCAAGGGCGGTGGTGTCCATCACAGGGTTGTAGAGAGCCACTTGTTCTCAGGCTTTCACCTGCTGGGCGGACCCAATTCAGTATTTATACAAATATGTCTCTGAACTAAAGTGTGACCTTACGCCAATGAAATTGTCTAGTCTGGTTCATTACTTCTTTGGAAAGAGCAGAGACCCAGCTCCCAAAGACAATGGCTAACACTAGCTTACCTGAGGCGCACACTGGGCAGCTGCCATCTTCCCTGGTCTCTGATTGGCTGCTTAATCCAGCTCATGCAAGCAGCTGTTCACCTGTGTGACCCACAACAGTGGTTCTCAAACCCCAGTGCCTTGTAGAGGGTTAAGTTCAACATAAAGGCTGAGCAGACTATGGATCTACATTCCCAACAAACCACCAGGTGGTACAGAAGGCTGCTGTTTTAGAGACTGCATTTCAAGAACCCAGCGATAGAGAAAATTCCAACCTATAGGTTATGGTAGCTTTCAGTACCTCTGGGATCTCTTTTTTTTTTTTTTAATTTTGTTCATTTTTCTCTTTTTGTTTCTTTTTGACAGAGGGAGGATCTCATGTAGTCCAGGCTGACCTCAAACTCTCTATGTCAAGAGTGGTCTTGAACTTCTGATCCTCCTATCTACACCTCCCAAGTGCTGAAATTATAGGTGTGTACCACCATGCCTGGTTTTGGTTTTGGGTTTTTTTTTTGTTGTTGTTGTTTTACTTTTTTAATTTATTTTAGGGGCAGGGGGCTTGTTATTCTCGAGAAATAGTATCATTCTATTCAGCAAGCTGCCCCATTAGGCCTTGTATGTGCTGACCTGACTCATTTAAGCCAAAACCCACAAGAATCTCTTAGGATCTCTCACCTTCTGCCAAGGGAGCATCACTACAGAGACATCAGCACCTGCCCAGCACCTGACCCCACATTTCATCCCTGTCTCACAGCCCTTGTAAGTCCAACATCCCAATGAGCACTCTTAACCAGGAACAGTCGACCTGTGATCCACTGGAAATCTCCCTGAGAGCCTCTAAAATCCCGTCTTCATATCTCATCTCCAAAGAGTTCCCCAGCTCAGCCTTCCATATAAGGAACTCAGTCCCTGGTCACAAATGGACATTAAAAAAAAAAAAAAATGACATCCTAGTGTCTGAAGAGGTGGCTCAGTAGATACAGTGCTTGCTGTACAAGCGTGAAAGCAGGAGTGCAGATCTCCTTACCCATGTGAAAAGCCAACTGGGCTTGGCAGCCTGCCTGTAATTCCAAAGCTCGGGAGACAATGACAGGGGAACTACAGGCAAACTGACTAACTAGAGCAGCCATCACCATCAACCTCCATGTCCAGCAGGACACCTTACCTCAATAAGAACAGGGGAGGGCCAGCAAGAAAGACAGCTCAGTGACAGGAAATTCACCAAGAACCAGTAAATTAACAATAAAATAGAAAAGCTGATATCAACCTCTGACCTCCGCATGTACCCATCCCCCCCACACACACACCACAAAGACACACGTGCAAAAAGAAAAAAGAAAAAGAAATGACATTCTAACAATAAAAGGGAAAATAACTCTATTTACATCTTCCTGTTTTTCATACCCTTTTCCTTGCTTCCCAGTTTCTCTCAAGACATAGGGACATGGACAGACACGCTGCTAATGGAGCCCTTGTATAAATAAGGACTTAGACCCTTGGGGCACAAGGTGAGCCCACTAGGACTGTAGCCACTACGGTCCTTTAACTATTCTCTAGACAATAGCAATTGGCATCTACTCATCTACTGGGTGTCTTTTTCGTGTCTGCCTAGGTTTTGAGTGAATAGGAGGGCAGGCTTACCCAAATATAAACAAGCATGTACACACAGGCATGTTGATGAGTGATAAAGGCAGGGATTTTTTCCCCTTTGATGTGCCCCTGTTTGCTAAGACTGATGTGTGTTTCTGCAAGTCTTCAGGCCCTTCCCTTTTTCATTCTTCCCCAAATAATCAAAGACAAGTGTGTCCTCCTCACTCACTGCCCAGGTCGGGCCAGCTGTGCCATCCCGACTGCCTGTATCATTACCAGACACAGCTTTTGCCCTGGAGTTCAGCTGGCAGCAGAGCTGCTTATGTGCAAAGCAGAATGGAATCCAGCTTGGCTCTGCCTTGCTGTGTGGGCTCAGCAAGGCTCACAGAATACATACTTGTTTGTGTCTGGAAATTCAACAGCTGCAGCTCAGTACTCAGCAAACAGAGCTGCAGAGGGAGACCACACCACCATAGGCCCTGGCCAACCACAGGCACCCCTTCAGCTCACAGAAGAAAAGACTATACTCCCTCCGCTCAAAGTCTGCATTTTCTAACTATTGCTCCTGGAATCTGGTACTCATTGGAAGCTCTAAGATCCTGATTCAGCAGGTAACTCAGCCTTCAATCTGGGTACTCCTAGTAGCCACCCAAAATATTCCAAAGGTAGTGCATTAACATTGAGGGTTTTTTTTTTTTCAATGTTTCATCCGTAAGATTAGTAAATCCAAAATTAGGCATAGTGGGTGACACACTTATGCAATCCCAGCACTCAGGAAGCGGAGGCTGAAGAGTCTTAAGTTCAAGGCCAGTCTAGGCTACATAATGAGACCCTGTCAAAAAATAAATAAATAAATAAAGAAGAAGAAGAAGAAGAAGAAGAAGAAGAAGAAGAAGAAGAAGAA